TCTAAACAAAAAGTTGATAAATAGAATTGAGGTTCTATCCAAAGAATTTCTTTCTCTGGATTTACTTGAAAAAAGGATTCGATTGTGTAATGATGAGCCTAAAAAAGAATACTTGCCCAAAATATATGATCCTTTCTTGAATGGACCACATCGTGGAACAATACAAAATTTGTTTTCACCTTTAATCATAAATGAAACTTCAATAGAAAATTTCATAGAAAAAAATAAGATTCATACTATCTTTCTTACTGATACGGATTCTCGAGAATTTAAAGATAAAACAGATATATTTGATAACAACCCATTATCAACAAAAATGAGTTATTTCTTGACTTTAATCAGTGAACTTAAATCAAATTTGAATTTGAAAGGATCTTCTTTATTTTCAGAACAAGGAAGAATGGATTCCGAAAATAAAACAAAATTTTTATTCAATGCAATTAGAAGTGATCTTAATGATCAAAAAAAAAAAAAAAAATCTATTGGAATAAAAGAAATCAGTAAAAAAGTCCCTCGATGGTCATACAAATTAATCAACGAATTAGAACAACAGGAAGGAGAAAGTGAAGAAGAAGTACCAATAGATTATCAGATTCGTTCAAGAAAAGCCAAACGTGTAGTGATTTTTACTGATAACCGGGGAAATACCGATCCTAATAATAAGGATACTAATAATTCTAATAAAAGAGACGAAGTAGCTTTGATACGATATTCGCAACAATCTGATTTTCGTCGAGACATAATCAAAGGTTCAATGCGAGCCCAAAGATGTAAAACAGTTATTTGGGAACTTTTTCAAGCAAATGCACATTCTCCGCTTTTTTTGGACAGAATAGACAAATCACACCCTTTTTTTTTTGATATCTCCGAACTGATAAAACTCATTTTTAGAAATTGTATAGGAAAGGGAGCAGAATTCAAAATTTCAGATTATACAGAAGAAGAAATAAAAGAAAGGGAAAAAAAGGAAAAGGACAAAAAAGAAGAGAACAAAAGAAAAGAGAAAGCGCGGATAGAAGTAGCAGAAGCCTGGGATACCATTCCATTTGCTCAAGTAATAAGAGGTTCCATGTTAATAACTCAATCGATTCTTAGAAAATATATTATATTACCGTCATTGATAATAGCTAAAAATATTGGCCGTATGCTATTATTACAATTTCCTGAGTGGTCTGAGGATTTAAATGAATGGAATAAAGAAATGCATGTTAAATGCACCTATAATGGTGTTCAATTATCAGAAACAGAATTTCCGAAAAATTGGTTAATAGACGGTATTCAAATAAAGATGCTATTTCCTTTCTGTCTGAAACCCTGGCACAGATCTAAGCCACGGTCCTCTCATATAGATCGAATCAAAAAGAAAGGACAAAAAGATGATTTTTTTTTTTTAACGGTTTGGGGAATGGAAGCTGAACTTCCTTTTGGTTCTCCCCAAAAACGGCCTTCCTTTTTTGAACCCATTTTTAAGAAACTCGAAAAAAAAATTGGAAAATTGAAAAAAAAGTATTTTATATTTCTAAAAGTTTTAAAAGAAAGAACAAAATTTCTAAATATCTCAAAAAAAACAAAAAAATGGATTATCAAGGGCATTCCGTTTTTAAAAAAAATAAAAAAAGAACTCTCAAAAGTAAATCCAATTCTATTATTTAGATTGAGAGAAATATATAAATCAAGCGAAACTAAAAAAAAAAAAGAAAAAGATTCTATAACCCGCAATCATATAATTCATAAATCCTTTAGTCGAATTCAATCTACATATTGGACAAATTTTTTACTGACAGAAAAAAAAATGAAAGATCTGACTGATAGAACAAGCACAATCAGAAATCAAATAAAAAGAATTACAAAAAATAAAAAAAAAGTGACTCCAGAAATAAATGATAGTCCTAATAAAACAAGTTATAATGCTAAAAGATTGGAATCACCAAATTGGCAAATATTAAAAAGAAGAAATACTCGATTAATCCGTAAATTACATTATTTTATAAAATTTTTCACTGAAAGGATATACGCAGATATCCTTCTATCTATTATTAATATTCCCAGAATTAATATACAACTTTTTGTTGAATCAACAAAAAAAATGATTGATAAATCCATTTACAATAATAAAAAAAATAAAAAAAGAATTAATAAAACAAATCAAAATAAAATGAATTTTATTTCGACTATAAAAAAGTCACTTTATAATATTAGTAATAAGAATTCACAGAATTTTTTTGACTTATCCTCCTTGTCACAAGCATATGTATTTTACAAAATATCACAAACACAAGTTCTTAACTTGTATAAGTTAAGATCTATTCTTCAATATCACGGAACGTCTTTTTTTCTTAAGACTTCAATAAAAGATTATTTTGGAAAACAAGGAATAATTCATTATGAATTAAGACATAAGAAACTTCGGAATTCTGGAATAAATCAATGGAAAAACTGGTTAAGAGGTCATTATCAATACCATTTATCTCAGATTAGATGGTCTAGATTAATAGCAGCA